CAAAAATGAAATTCAAACATGGCTGTGGCAATTCAAGTAGATTTTTGTTTTCCTGTGAACAGTATTGGCATCATAGAAACATAATTCTATCACCCTCCTTTTATGTATGCCGAGTGCTAGGTATATATGTAAGTAGAAAAGCAAAGTGACCCAATGCCCATCCCGAAGCCATTTGGTAAGGACTCTGTCTTTAATGGTGGCAATGAATATACTGCTTTGTGTGTAGGGTGGATTGAAGTTGGTGAGAGAGGAGAACTCTTCAGTCTTCTTCAGGCTCAGAGCTGCTTTGGGTTCTGCAGTCACTTTGAGAGCTTCTGGTTTCCAGCTTCAAGAGAGAAGATGGAAGATGCCAATCCCACTTCATGTTCCTTTCATGTTTTCCCAGGGTCTTTTCCTTCAGCAACCTGAAGAGAACTCAGGAAGACAGAAGAGCTCCCCTCTCTCACCAGCTCCACCCCACCCCTTTCACAGGGCAAGACATTCCTCTCCACAACTGAGGAGAAAATTCCATACCAATTGGCTTTGGGACTAGGGTTACAATATGGCGAAACCAAGGCCCACAGAAGGAAAGTAACTTGTCTGATTTCATGCAAGTAGTTAATGGCAGAGCTAGGGTAAGAACTTAAGTCTCCTGATTCCCACATCAGGGCCCTTTCTACTCAGCCATACTCTCTTCTTAGACAAAGTCACAAGAGAACATCATGTGTAAGTGGGTGATTGGCCTCAATAAATAGATATGTAAATGTACCTCTAATTAACTTATTTGATCAGTCTTTTCTCCTACTCTGTTTACATATTTACATGGAATTTTTGAGTTGAAAAGAGGCTTTATTGTTTAGTCATTTTCCATTGTGTCTGACTCTTCATGACCCCTTTGGGGTTTTCTTGATAGAGATACTGGAGTGGTTCGCCATTTCCTTCTCCAGGTCATTTAACAGATTAAAGAGCTAAAGCAAACAGGATTATGTGACTTGCCTGGCATCACACAGCTAGTAAGTGTCTGAGGCCAGATTTGAACTCAGGAAGATGACTCTTCCTGACTCCAGGCCCAGCACTCTAATCAATGTTCCACCTAGCTGCCCCCAAAAGGTACCTTAACGATTATTTATAATTGAACCCCTTTATGTTATGAGAGAGGATATATTTTCAGTATTATCTGAGCTCAGAAATTTTGTCTTCATATCTAATTTCACAAGCCGTAGGCTTGCCATTACTTTACATATTTTTAAGGGCTAATCCAGTGGAAAGGGCACTGGATTTGGAGTCTGAGGACCTAGGCTCAGATTCCACCACTATCACTTAACTGCTTATGTGATTGACTAGGGTCAAATCATTTAACTTCTCTGCACCTCAGTTTCATCATTTTTAAAATGAGAGGGTTAGACTAGATGACCCCTATGGTCCTTGGAGCTCTAAATCTTTGTTTTTTATAATCTTACTTGAAAAGGTCTGAGTATCTGGGACATCTGAGACCAGAAGTGGCACAGATACGTATTTGGCCTCTGACCTGATATCTTCCCTAACTTTTTTTTTTCCGAATCTGATGGCTCATGTGGTAGATTAACTTCTTGTCTTGGGAAAAACGTTATATGATGGTTGACGTTTATAGAGCACTTTAAAATTTACAGCTAGGTTCTGATTAGTGTGAATAATAAATCCCCTGAAGTAGTCCCATGCATTTTAATTTTCACTATTTGAAGTTATAATTATGAAAAATATGGTTGTTGGTTTCAGACCAGTGGAAAAATGCAATGCAAATTCAAATAATGCTACTACTTGGGCAAGGACTGGGGAGATTCGTTATTTGCACTAATTGAGACCTAGCTAAACAAACTATTTGACATGCATTATCTCATCTAATTATTCACAATAATCACGTAGGTTAGGTAGTGCAAAAGCTATTATTCCTATTTCGTATTTAAGGAAATCAAAACTTAGGGTAAGGAACTTGACCAAGATCACACAACTAATAAATGGTAGACTCAGCATCCAAGCTCATCTTCTGACATCCAGTCCAGTGCTCCTTCTGCTGGATTAGCTCTCTTAGCCTAGCAATCCATTCACTAAATTGCAGTTCATATTTTTCCATTAAGATATGTGGCATTTCCTTGCATTGAGACTTTTGTTAAATCATTGAAGAAATTTGGTCTCTGAAATAGGTAAAGATCATTCAGAATTCTAAATTCTTTTTTTTCTATTTTTTATTTTGGATTTGGGGGAAGAAATGTTTTTGTTTTATTGGATTTTTTAAAATGTCACATAATAAGAGCAAAAGAAGCTGTAAATTGGTACAGATTTTCTGGAAAGTAATTTGGAACTCTACCCCAAAAGACACCAAACTGTGCACACTCTTTGATCTGAGAATACCACTACTAGATCTATACCCCAAGGATATCAAAGGAAGACAAAAAAAACCCTTATGTACAAAAATATTTACAGAAGCTCTTTTTGTGGTGGTAAAGAACAGGAAACTAAAGTGGGGGGTGGGGTTTGTCAATTGAAGAGTGCATGAGAAATTTATGGTTGTGAATGTAATAGAATACTAATTTACCATAAGAAATGAATAATGGGATTATTTCAAAGAAACCAGGGAAGACTTACTAAAAAAAAAAGAGCAAAAGAAGGTTTTAAAAAATTTCTTCTGCAAGGTAAATATGCATGATTGAAATAGTATTTGTCTCAGGAATAACAAACTTTCGTTCTCCTCTTCATGGACACATTTCCTTAATGAATGTTGGGATGGTTCTCTAAGAATTATTTGTCCCCCCCCCCGAGGGCTCTAACTGTTCCAACAAACACTGAGTATTTTATCTTATTTTAAAATTTATTGATATATTTTGTTTTGATACAGCAGAGACTTCCTAATATGCACAAACTGTCCTGACAAAGTACACTCCCTGAAATACAAGAGATCAGTTATTGACAGATAGGAGGAATGTGTCACTTGACTGCTAGCATGATGCTAACTTTGACCATTATACTTTACCAGAGTTCTGTGGCCTCTCAGTGTTGACTTTATATTGTTATAGTCATTGTATATATAATTCTTTTGGCTCTGTTCTTTTCCTTCCTCAAGACTTCAAGTGGCTCTTGCCAAGTTTTTCTGAATTCTTCATATTCATCATTCATAAGATTATGGGATCATAGATTGAGCTATAGAAGGGGCTTTAGAAGTTAACTCCCTCATTTTATAGATAAGAAAACTGAGGCCCAGAGATGTTAAGTGATTTACCCCTGCCAGATCTAGTAATCACATGAGGCAGAGTTTGAACTCGGGTCTTCTTGACTCCAAATTCTATACTATTTTTTATCACACTTACTCTGTAGCAAGAATTCCATTGTATTCATATAACATAGTTTGTTCAGCTATTTCTCAATCATTGAGCACATGTTTTGTTTCTAGCTTTGTACCTTGACAGATAATGCCACCATGACAATGTTTGTATGGACATTTTTTATACTATCAATAACTTCCTTGGGATAAATAGTAGAACAGAGCTCAGGGCCAAAATATAAGAACAATTTAGTAACTTTCCTTGAGTAATTGCAAACTAATTTTCAGATGAGCTGAACCAATTCACAGCTCCACCAGTAATGGATTAGCACTGTGTGTTTTCCTTCAGCTCCTCCGACAATGATGTACTGGATACTCTGGAGTTTGGAGGTGGCGGGAGTTAATAAATAATTCCTTAGAAAAGTATAGGCTTAGACTGGAACTGACACAAGAGACCTCCAACATCAGATTTTCATTTCCCTGACAATCCAAAAATTTCTTGAGTTGCCTGAGATTCCAGGCATCTTTTTGGAGATGATATAAAAAAAAATGGTACTGGGGGATATCTGAGTGGTCTTTTAAAAACTTACTACCACTAGAACTTACTGTTATTACAAAGCAATCTGATTTTGCTAGGTATAAGTTCACTAAAGCATTAGTTTTAAAAATCTAGAATTATTTGGGCAGAAAATACCCAAAGGAAATAAAATGTTTCTTCTCTCCCAGTCCTTTTCTATTCAAGGTTCTCTAGCATCCATGATGCTACTAGTCTCAACCAAGAACTGAGGTGCAGGTTTATTCAGGCTGAATCAGGAGACCAGGCTACAAGGCTGATTTATGGTGAAGCTCCAAAAGATTCAGAATATTCTCTTAGACAGGGACATGTCAGAAATCTGGCCATGACCAACAGACCAAAGTATTCGTTAATTAGCTCCAGCTTTGGAAAAATTAAACCTTTGTTTTTTGTTGTTGTTGTTGTTGTTTTTCTAGTGGATTTCAGATACCGGAACAGGCTAACAGGGACCTCAGGCAAATAAATGTCTTTTTGCCTAGGTTGAGTGTACTTTGTTGTGGTGAATTGTAGTATATGATATACACTCATGCAGCCAAATCAAACCTGCCCTTTAGAGGTGGCCTGATGGTTCATTTTACTGCAAATTTCTGAAATAATGTCTTAGAGTCTGAAATATAGTAATTTTATGGAGGCTTTATATTTAACGTTTTAGGGTGGGTGTTGTTGGTAAGGGTGATGGTAACTTTTATCTTCCTATTCATTCATGACCTAACTGGCAGGCCCCATGGCCATATTCTTGATGAAGAAAGTACCATTCTGACATCTTATTCCTAGTTGCCCCACTCAGGAGTAGGGGCATGTGCAGCAGCTGCCTTCTAGGTCTCTTTTTTTGGAAGAGAAGACATGGGCCGTAATTTGTGAGTATGAAGAACAGAACCATTAACCTTCTCAGTCTAGACCTTCAAAATTTTTGTGCACTCTGGTGAGTCAGAAAAAAAACAAACCACCTTATCCTTTTCCCATTTAGCTGACTTTTCTGCCTATGGAACAAATTGGAGGCATAATACTTCCTTTTTCCTAAATGACCCTTGTTATTATGAGGGCCTCTTTGTTATTGTGACATGATGGAAACCACTGGAATTTGGATGAACATCAGCTAATAATCTAGCCAAGCAATTAATTAACATTCTAATTCTGGGATTCTTTTCACAGCAAGTGAGAAGCAGATGGTGGTTGTGTGCAAGGAGTCCCCAAAGGAGCATCTCCAGCCTTTTAAGGACAAGCTAGAGGTGTTCTTACAGAAAGGTAGGCAGCATGTTGCTCAGAAGCATACTGTATATCCTCCCAGACCAATTACTATGGCCCAACCTTCTTTTCTATCACTGGATAATTATACCCAGCTCAAAATCCTCTATTTCTACATCATTCTACATCTTTCCTGAACACCTATGTACATAGTTAATATGAAATTAATCTGTACTTGATTTATATCACCTTTTTTAGTGTTCTTAGCTCAGGGGTTCTTAAACCTTTTTGCGTCATAGATCCTTTTGACAGTCTGGTGTTGCCTATGGACCCCTTCTCAGAAAAATATTTTTAAATGCATAATATAAAATATTTAGGATTATGAAAGAAATGAATTATATTGAAATATAGTTATCAAAATATTTTTAAAAAGGAAACAAGTTCACAGGTCTTAGTAAAGAACTCCTGTTTAGATCATTTTAGTTCTATACATCTGTACCTAGCCTATTACTCTCATTCTTTGATAAACCTTTTAAAGTAGGGCCCATGTCAGCTCTTTCCTGGGAGCATAAATTTAGAGTTGGAAGAGAACTTAGGGGACATCTAGTCTAATCTTGGCCCTATTTTGCATAAAAAAAGGACAGTGAGGCAGACAGGTTAAGTGATTTGTCACATTGTACTTTATGCTGTGGGTGCTCATTTTCACTTGACAAAATGATTCGCTTGTGGAAGTAAGTTGAATAAAGCTTTTCCAAGCAATCATACATTTCATTTACATGGTTAAAATGGCTTAATTGAGAATTACCTTTCTGATTTCTCTGAATTTCATCAATTTGAGGACTATGGATTTTTTTAACTGTTTGTCAAACTGTGCTCAGAAAAGCAAAATAAGCCAGGTGATATCATAAAGGGAGTCAATTAATCAACACATTTATGAAGCATCTACTGTGTTCCAGACACCATGTTAAGTACTGAAGATACAAAGACAAAAATGAAACAGTCCCTTACAGGGCCTTATATTCTGATGGGGAACATGTACATATATAAGTATATATATATAAACATATATAAAATGAAAGCAAGGTAGTTTTGGGAGAGGGAACAGAAGCGTCTGGGAGAAGAATTAGAAAAGGCTTCCTGTAGAAGGTGGCACTTAGGCTAGATCCAGAAGATCCAGAGATTCCAAGAGGAAGAGGTGAAGAAGGAGGACACTCTAGGAATAAGCGATAGCTAGGACAAATGCCAAGAAATGTATCCTTGAGAGCTGATGACTTCCCTCTCCTTGGAAGTCTTCAAGCAAAGACCAGCTGATTGTTTTTCTCCTATGCAGTCAAAGTGAGGATTTCTTTCATGAATTGCTGTTTGTCCTTCATCCTCAAAGAGGACCATGACATCAGAGAGGTGATGCCATGACATGCAAGTGGATTAGATTTAAGTGAGGGAGGGCTGGGCAAAGTCACCAGCCTCACTTTCTCCTCCAGAGGCATCTGGGTCCAGTGGCCAGTTATGGATCAGGACCACTGGAGATGGCCTAGGATATAGTAGGGGACTTTGGCCTTTTCAAGCTAAGGACTTTAACAGGTCTCATTTTGACTGAGGCAGCGCTTGGATTGGAAGGCTAATGAGGTCCTTCACAAATTTCTGTGATTCCATGACTCTGTGAGGATTCCATGATTGCTTGTGTATGAGGAAAAGCAAGAGACCGTAGTTTAATTACAGATCTATCTTTCATAGAAAAATGAATAGAAGTGACATGGACAAGACTCAATATCTTATTTAGAAATATCACTTGGGCACCTACATTGTTCATAGTACTGACAGAGGATGAGGATATTGTTCATTGTCAACAATCTGCCAGTGTCATTTAAGCCATAAATGTAGGGTTTCTTGCTTTCTGGGTTATTTCCAATCTGATTTTTTTTTTCAAAATTTAGCCAAAGATAAGCAAGGGAAAAAGGAAAAAAAATCTGCTTGCATTTATCTTTGCTAGAAAGCCAAAGGAAATGAGTGTATGAACCTTTGGTGAGCCATCAACATACTGTTGCTGATTTTGAATCAGCCACCATGATACCACACCATAAACAGAAGACTGCTCATCAGGGTGAATCCATAAATCATGGCCAACAGTCATTGGAAATTGGCAGAATTTCCTGTGTGAGTCAGAGAAGCTGAATAGTGGCTGTCTCTTCTGATGGAGAAACATAGCCACTGTGTCCCTTCATATTAAGGGCTTATCAGAGTAGTCACCGAACAAGTTAAAGCTTTCCTCTGACAGTCTGCAAATAATACCGTCAGTTTACCATCCTGAAATCTAAACAATGAGACTAATGCACAGACATTCTGTAAACATAAAAGACATTGCTAGGTGGCATAGAGGATAGAGTGATGGACAGAGTCAGGAAGAGGTGAATTCAAATCCTACCTCAGACACTATCTGTGTGACCCAAAACAAATCACTTACTCTCTCTCTGCCTCAATGTCTTTATCAATAAAATGAGTTTAATAATATATAATAACTTATGTAAAGTGCTTTGCAAATCATAAAGTACTATATAAACACTAGCTATTACTAATAAGATAATCATAAAAGAAAGAAGCTGGTTTTCATATGTGATTAGTAGAAGCTGTCTTATAACTTAGTTATAACTGGTCTAAATAAAAAACTGGCCCTTTAAAAAAAAAGTCATCTTCCCCTAAATTACTGATGACTTCCTATACTTGAAATGAGGTCCTAAGGCAAAGATTAATTTGTATTGAGGTTCAACTTGTATTTTGAACAGTAAATATTCTAGATTTATATTCATAGATATATGTATTGCCTTCTCTCTGGTGACTCCATTAGCAGTTAATTTGTACATAGTCCAGATAGCATTCTTTAATTCTCCATGCATGTTTTTTTATCCATTTGCCCATTTTCTGGAAAAGAAGAGATGTACCTATGGGGATATACCCTTGACAATCTTGTTATCTCCTTGGTAGAATGATTTTAGAAGTCACAGCTTCAAATTATGTGATGAACTTCTTTTTCACTGAACTATTTTAAATTTCTATTCTATAATAGTTAATGTTTGTTGAGATAACTCAAATGGGTCTAGGGTCTTTTGGACAATATGGTTTCAAGAAGGGTGATAGGGTCTAAAGCTTAAAGAGAAGATCCTAAATGCCATTTATTCCAATACCTTCATTTTGCCAGTGAGGAAACTGAGGCACAAAGGAATGAGGTGGTTTGCCCCAAGATCACACAAGCATTAAGTAATAGAACAGGAATCAGAACTCACATCCATTGATGCCAAATCCAGCTGGCTTTTCTACTGCACAGTTTAAATTTTCCTCCCTTTTTTAGGATTATATACCATGATTAGAAACACAGAGGCTGGTGCTGTCATTGTGGTAAGATGAAATGCTCCCTTCAGTTTCTATGGCTGGTTACATAGAACAGCCTGCTGGGAAGTTCGTGTTCCATAATAGTTATTATCACTCATAAAATCTTAAGCAATTGGGTTCTTTATGCTTGAGAAGTCACATGAGGTGTGACTCAGTTGATTCACGGAAAGGCTTATTTTTAGATGAACTGTAATTCAGTTCTTCTAGCAATCATAATGATTTAATTTTTCTTTTGTAAATCATATCCTGTTGCCACACTCGAGTGACGATGGCGTCTTTGAACTTTGCTTTATGTCTTTTATTGGTCCTCCCCTTCTCCAAACACCCTTAAATAGCCTCGTTTGATGATATTGCCTTACTCCTACTTAACTAATTTCATTCCCCAAACAGAAGTGAAAGTATTTTTAATGGCAACACTTACCAGAGTTGCACTCTTCACAATATTTGACCTTTCTTCTCACACATTTCCCTTTTCCACTGTGTTCTTTTACTTGTTCCAATTTACAGCTCAGTTCAGGGTCAGCTTGTGAAGGCATTATTTAAGCTCTAGGTTTCCCACCCTCAGATCAAACATGTTCATAATGATATAGCCCTCAAAAATGTGATACACACATTAAAGTTTCCCATAAAACTGGCAGGGATCCTGTAATTGAAAGAATCCACAGTCAGGTTGATTGGGTCCCAGGTATGGCTCTTGTAGGTGGTCTTTTCATGCTGTTAAATTGGCCTTTTGTATTTACAACTCTAGCAGGGAGTACTGAAGTTGGAATGGGCTAAACTTATTTTTTGTGTGTGTCCTAACATTAGCATTCTCCCACACTTGGTACTATCTCATTTTCTGTTATTTTTATCTGACATACTGCTAGCGCAAATAAAGTCGGTGTGATCTTTAATGGTACAAGATGTCCCAAATGTCTTAGTGCAGTTTAAAGCTATTTAAACTTTCATAGCTTAAAACTGCACTAAGACTTTTGGGACAAGTTGTACACACAGCTATGGAATTTACTGAACTATACTTATTCTTGTTTCTCAGATCAGCCCTTTTGAGATTTTTTTTTTGAGCATAACTTTCTTACAGGTGTCTTTAAATTCCAGATAATTCTATTGCACAGGAGGAAAAAAAGTAAGATGCAAGATATGAGCTATCCAGTAGCTCTGACATAGAAGAGTAAAGAATTACATGAAATTTTGAAGAAACTCTAGAACAGGATGGTTACAATAAAATATCTAAATGCTTCTCTTCTTGTTCAGATCCATTCTGAATCCATTTCTGGATTTTGTATGGAGCACATTGCCAAACTCAAAAGCGTGTCTCATAGTCTTCCTCCGAATAGTTAGAAGATCAAATATTGTCTTGGCTAATAACCTGGAAGATCTGGCATGTAACTCAGGTAGCTTACATGTAAGAGAAATTAATAAATAGGTGTTGAGTTGAATTAAAAGCTGGTATAAGTAAACTTTTCCTTGCATCTTTCATTGCTGTTAAAAACAGTAAAGCACAGTAAGCAATCCACACAATACAAATAAATTGGAGAGAAGACCATTCACACCATCTTCAAATATGTACTTGGAGTTCTGGGAAATGCAACCTAAGAGGAGGTGATAAATTCAAGATACAGAGACATACATTTTTTGGACATGGTCAGAAGTCCAGAACAGGAGTTTGTTTTGTTCTA